AGAATCAGGGAATCGGGAAATCAGGGAGTCAGGGGAATCGGGCAGTGGGGGAATCACTGAATTGGGGAATGGGAGAATTGGGGAGATCAGGGAACCGGGGAATTGGGGAAATGGGGAATGGAGGAATCAGGGAATCACTGAATCAGGGAATCTGGGAATTGGGGAAATCATGGAATGGGGGAAAATCAGGGAATCACCGAATTGGGGAATCAGGGAGTGGGGGAATCGGGGAACTGGGGAAATCAGGAATGAGGGAATTGGGGAATCAGGGAAATTGGGAATCTCGGATTTGGGGAATGGGGAAATTTGGAGAAATCAGGGAATCAGTGAATCGGGGAATGTGATTCCCCAGAGGGAATCACTGAAACACTGAACTGAGGAAATCATGGAATTGGGGAATGGGGAATAGGGAAATCACTGAATCTGGGAACCAGGAATCATGGAATCAGGGAATCACGGAATCAGGGAATGAGGGAATCACTGAAACACTGAATCGGGGAAATCACGGACTTGGGGAATGGGGGAGAATCAGGGGAATCACTGAATCAGGGAATCGCAGGGCTCCAGGACCCCCCCAGATCCATCCTGACCCAACAGGACCCCCCAGATCCTCCGAGCCCTGAGCGGATCCCCCTTCCCACCAGCCATGGCGCTCAGCAACTAACTCCAGTTAGGAATTAATTTAGCGTTTAGGACAGGAACTTAAAGCGAAGGCTCCCACAGCCAGACCCCCTCCGCCATGGGCTCCTCCTTCCCCAAGTGACCGTCCCACCGCCGGGGCACTCCGGGGCGGGCTCCCCTCGTCAGGGGAACGTTCCGCACGCCCCGGCCGGAGCCCTCCCGGGGCAGCTCGGGACCTCCCAAGCAGGGCCGGGGCCCCCCCGGCTGAGCCCGGACCCCCATCCCGGCCCGGCCCGGACCTGGCGTCGCCGCCGCCGCCGCTTCCCCTCAGCACTTCCGGGTTCTTCCCCACCGGCCACCGCCTCGCTCTCGCCAGCCAATCAGAAGCCGTCCCCACATCCGGGTACGCAACGCAGATATCCCTACTTCCGCCCGGTTGTGAAGCGGCTTCCGTTCCCTTAGGGAACGTCGCGCGCCGTGACGTCACAGCGGCTGGTCTTAAAGGGACAGCGCCCCTGAAGAGGCCGCGATGCGCCCCAGCCCAAACCCGACCGTTCTCACCCCAAAACCGAGCCCGACCCCCCCCACACTTCGGATCCTGCGCGGGCCCCTCAGGGCAAATGACTGCCGCACAGCCAGGCTGGGGTTTGCACAGCGTGGGAATTTACTTTAGTAAAAAGGAGCATAAAAATCGGCGTTTTGGGGGCCGGTCCCTGAGGAAATCAACAAAAACCCGCTTTGTTGAAGGCTCTGGGGATGTTTCTCCAGCATCCCTCACGGATCAGGCACAGCGCCAGGCTAAAAAACTCCTGCAGAAGCAGCAGAGCTGTGGGCAGTGAGAAAAGGGAGATAAAAAAGCAGATTAAAAAAGCAGATTTAAAAAGCAGATTTAAGGCAGCCTTGTGCAGCAGCCCTGGCTGGAGCCACCTGTCACCACGTGTCCTGCTGCTGCTTCTTCTTTTTGGGGCGTGGGGAGAGAGAGCAGTTCCTGGGGGGCACGCTGCACGGCTGCTGCAGGGGATTCTGCTCCTTCTGCCATCTCTTATCCGGCTTCTTCTGCTTCCTCCGCTCCTGGTGCTGAATCTCCAGGTGGTTCTGCTCCAGGGGATTCTCTTCCAGGCCATTCTTCTGCCTGTGTTCCAGATGATTCTGCTCCAGATGATTCTGCTCCCTCTGCTCCAGATTATTCTGCTTCTTCTGCTGTTTCTTATCCAGTTTTTTCCGCTTCCTCTGCTCTGTCTCCAGGTGATTCTGCTCCAGAAAATCCTGCTGCCTCTGCTCCAGGGCATTCTGCTCCAGACAATTCTGCTTCTTCTGCCATCTCTTATCCAGCTTTTTCTGCTTCCTCTGCTCTATCTCCAGGTAATTCTGTTCCAGATGATTCTGTTCCAGGTGATTCTGTTCCAGAATATCCTGCTGCCTCTGCTCCAGATGATTCTGTTCCAGATTATTCTGCTTCTTCTGCCGTCTCTTATCCAGTTTTTTCTGCTTCCTCTGCTCCATCTCCACGTGATTCTGCTCCAGGTGATTCTGCTGCCTCTGCTCCAGGGCACTCTGCTCCAGACAATTCTGCTTCTGCTGTCTCTTATCCGCCTTTTTCTGCCTCCTCTGCTCCTGCTGCTGAATCTCCAGATGATTCTGCTCCAGACAATTCTGCTTCTCCCGCTGTCTCTTATCCAGCTTCTTCTGCTTCCTCTGCTCCTGGTGCTCCTGCTCCTGGAGCTTCAGCTTCTTCTGCTTCCTCTGCTCTGGGTGATTCTGTTCCTGATGCTCCAGATGTTCTGTTTCCAGATGGTTCTGTTCCAGATGCTCTGTTTCCAGATGGTTCTGTTCCAGATGCTCTGTTTCCAGATGGTTCTGTTCCAGATGCTCCTGTTCCAGATGTTCTGTTTCCAGATGGTTCTGTTCCAGATGTTCCAGCTTGTTCTGCTTCAGATAATTGTGTTTCTTCTGCTTCCTCTGCTGCTGATGCTCCATCTCCTGGAGCTTTGGCTTTTTCTGCTTCCTCTGCTCCGGATAATTCTGCTCCGGATAATTCTGCTCCAGATGATTCTGCTCCTTCTTCTTCCTCTGTTCCAGATAATTCTGCTCCAGATGATTCTGCTTCCGCTGCTCCTGATGCTCCATCAACTGGAGCTTCTGCTTCCTCTGCTCCGAATAATTCTGCTCCAGATAATTCTGCCTTTTCTGCTGCCTCTGCTCCAGATGATTCTGTTCAAGATTATTCTGCTCCAGATGATTCTGCTTCTTCTTCTTCCTCTGTTCCAGATAATTCTGCTCCAGATGATTCTGCTCCTTCTCTTCCAGATGCTCCATCTCCAGATGTTTCAGCTTTTTCTGCTTCCTCTGCTCCTGATGCTCCATCTCCAGATGATTCTGTTCCTGATGTTCCAGCATTTTCTGCTTCCGCTGCTCCAGATTATTATTTTCGTGATGTTTCAGCCTTTTCTGCTTCCTCTGCTCCTGATGCTCCATCTCCAGATGATTCTGTTCCTGATGTTCCAGCTTTTTCTGCTGCCTCTGCTCCAGCTTCTCACGGTGCTGCAGCTGCCCCAGCCCCTGGGGCTGTCCCTGAGCCGTGGGGCCGGGCAGCCGCCCCTGCCTGGCACTGCCGGGGTTCCTGCAGGGAAATTGGGGAGTCAGGAACACAAAAAGGGCTGGTGGAGCACCCAGAGCCTTTCCTGCAGGGAAATTGGGGAGTCAGGAACCCCAAAAGGGCTGGTGGGAGCACCCAGAGC